ACGAGAATAAACGCAAGAGTGATAAGAAACGACAAAAAACACGGATCAACATTGGCACGGCATTTACACGATGGAAGTCACTGATGGAGGAAAAAGGTTTTCAAAGTGACGCTCAAGTTGCCAGTTTTCTCTTGGACAGGTAATTAATCCTATACACACTATTGTCTAATATCACTGCAGTTTTTGGAGTACAGGATGCTCAGACCTGTCTAAAACAATAACATGCTGCGTGATGATGCTGTTACTCTCCAGTATACTTATTCAGCAACGTCCCTGACGTTTCACAGGTAATGATTCAGTAATTTTCTGTAAAATAATTTTCTGGATATATACCTCGGTTACTTCTCTCCGGCTCCTTTGGAGATCTTCAAGCCTTTCTTCCTCTGCTCTCACCCCGCTGGCACCCCTCTCTCGCCTGGCCCCAGCTGCACGCTCACCCCGGCCTCTCTGCCCTCTTCCTTTCCCTCTTCCTTGCCTTGTAACCCCCGTGCCACAAACAAGACTTGGACTCTGTAAACGGGGAATATATATTCTTCCAGCGAACACAATCTCGCTGTTAAACTAATGACTACAATTACTTCGTCTGTTTATATCACCATGCAAAGCAGCTCACCAAAACGTCACAACGACGTAGAAAAGATAACGGGTATATTTATTATCTTAAGTCTACATGAAATCTATACCCTACACAGACTAATGAAATACTATCTGTAAAATTATCTATGTAAACAAACCTCATCACTTGAGAAGGTAGGTGATGCGGACGTCGTGGAAGACATTTTGTCCCGTAACGCTCGCCGTACTGTTGGGGGGGAGAAGCGGTGGGGGGGAGACGTTCATGTTGCTGCAGTCTGCAGTCTGACCGCTAGATGTCGCTGAAAATTACACACTGTAGCTTTAAAACAGCTCTAGACAATTTCATTTTTTAAAGTGCAGCCTTGAAAAACTAATAAAAACATTAAAAAAAGAAAAATAGTAGTATAAACAAATGACTGTATATTTACATACTAAACATTTTTTTTTCAAATAAATATATTTATGATATAATAATAATATTATACTACCAGCTCCCTGTCTCCTCTATAGTAGCCTTTAAGATAATGTTCCTCTCATGGGGCTTTTAATGGTCAAATACCAGCTTATACCTGAAAATTCTGACATCTGTATGTTGCTAATCGTTCCTTTAAGTTATGTCACCAAACTGCTGCTTGTATCACGGAAGTCGCTGCCTCTTGTGTAGATTTAGGCCGACCCATTTTTTTCTTAAAAGCCGTTTTTTTTTTGTTTTTTTTTTCCTGGGCTTCAATTTTCTTTTTCAATGTTTCAATGTTTGTTTTTGGTTTCCTCCTTTTCCCCCTGCTTAGTCTTATAGATGTTATATAATGCACCTTTTTCCTCCTCGTTTGCACCTTCTTTAATCACTATGCCAATATGTGACGAGTGAATTTCTCCGCTGTGATATCAATAAAGCTCATCTAATCTAATCTATCATAGAAATGAACATGAATATCCTGATCCACATGAAGAGGAGAAAAATAAAGTCCAAACCACCGTCACTCCTAGAGGCCAATGATCTTCTCTCCGTTTCCCTGCTAGGATTAAATACATCCTAATCTCATTAAAGGTTTTTATATATTACCTCCATCCAAACATTGGAGCGTTTGTGTGTCTGGCCTCTATAAAAACCCCAGTTTGATGCCATCTACTTCTTGGAAACTCCCCTTTCCCTTCTTTTTTTGGAGTTCCTAAAATATAATAACACTTTCCAGGTATTGAAAGCACAGATCTGCATAGACATCATTGATAGGAATGTTCAGTATTTGGAAAAACCAAAACCGAACTCTGACAGGAGAATCTTCCAGTGTTTTTAGATCATCTTTTTTTTCTCTTGCTTTAACCTCCCTGAATTTGGCCCTACTCTTCTTTTTCCCCTTCTGCTTTTGTCGTGGCAGGAATGCGAATCCTTCATTGTGAAGCTACATAAAACTCACCTGTCTGTGAGCACACTCCTAACTTTCCGTTTTGATTTGCTCACATTTCTCAGCCCCAGTAGTGTCGATAGCCCACGGTTTTCCTTTGGATGTTCTTTTTCATTCTTTGGCTATGATTAACTACATCTTCATTGTTAAAATATGACCTACGTTAACCTTACCTTATGAAATGATGTAAGATATTTTACACATTGCCTGAATTCACAGTAAACTTCCAGATAAGTAAAAAAAAAACAATCCACTTGACTTTGTTTCCAAGTTTTAAGACGTTTCGCTTCCCATCAAGGAAGCTTTTTCAAATCAAAATGTCAGAAATAATGTTGAAATCAAGGCTTTTTAGAGTGGAATAAAAACAAAGCCTTCTTTTGGCTTAGAAAATATGCCAATTGAACCGGGCAAACGGGTCCATCCCTTTGGAATGGGGGTTGTTTGGCTTCTTTGTTGGCCTGTAAAACCCGATATCTGTCTATGTCTCTGAAACAGGGCTCACTAAAGCCAACAGCCAGGCTAACAATGCCCTGCTCCCCAAGGTGAGAGGTTAAATGAGTTCATTTCGTTGCTAGGTACCTGTGACAATGTAATAACAATAAAAAAGCTGATTATTTTTTTTTTCAAACATTTCATCATATTTTAATAGGGATGCACGATATGGGTATTTTGCCGATATCCGGTATGCCGATATTTTAAAACTCATGTAGCCGATAACCGATACCGATGTTAAAGCTGGACAAAAATAAGTAGTCATTGAAAATAGCAGTTTTATTATCCATTTCTGACACTTTGAAAAATAATATACTCAAATATATTTTCATATGCTGATATCACATTGATTTTTAAAAACGCGGTATCGATCTATTTAACTTTCAAAATTTCATCGTTCTGTTACAAACTGTCGTGATATTTTGCAAATTCTTGTGAGATTTTGTTAGTAAAATAGATCGATACCGCGTCAATATATCAACAAATAAAAATATGGCAAAATTTAGTGAATTTTCGGGGGATTTAATAGCATAACGATGACATATAGCAATATTTCATTAGAAACTCAGAAGCTGATCAAATATCGGGTTAAATATCGGTGGCATGGCCGATGTCCGATATTCAGTTTTAAGGCCGATACCGATAGGGGGCCGATTATATCGTGCATCCCTATATTTTAATTATTTTTAATTCTGGTTATAATTAGAATAGTTGTGAAAATTGGCAGATGGCCGCTCTCCCTGAGCCTGAGTCTGCTGGAGGTTTCTTCATGTTAAAAGGAAGTTTTTCCTCTCCACTGTCGCCACAAGCATGCTTAGCGTGAGGGATTGCATTCAAGTCAATGCAATCAACTGGTTTTTCTGAGATAGAAAACTTTGAGTCAATCTGACTGGATGATCTGGTGAACTGTAAAGTGCCTTGAGTTGTGAACTATAGAAATAAACTAAATTGAATTAATTTGAAAATATACTCTATGCTATTTCATATGCATTATTTAGTTTGAACATATTTTATTCATTCTAAAGTTGTGGTTGATTCTGTTTTGCTGTGGCAGCTTGCCACCATCGCTTACATGTAGCGAGAGGCTCACTAAAAGAGGAAAGGTTTTATGAAACACCTTGGGAGATGTTGTAACTGACTGCTGTCTGGTTTTTGATCCCTGGGTGATGGTCAGGCATCGGTGAGTCAGTCGAAGGAGAGACGCCCAAGTCCTTTTTAAACCTCCAATTTGCTGAGCTTAATTTGTTGTGTTAAAAAAAAAAGAAGGAATAAGTGACTCAGATTATGCATAATTACTGCTGCATGCACACGGTTTACAGAACTGATGGAGAGGATGGACAAAACTATGGAAACGAAGTGAGATTAAACAGGAATCTCCTTATTATCGCTGTAATATTTTGACCTGAGCTTGATCTTTTCCGGCCTTAAAGTTTGCGCTGACAGTGGTTTGACTTGGGCACAGCGACCCTGGGCGTGTTGGAGGAAGCGAGGAGTCTGTGCTGCAGGAAAGAACCCCGGCTCATGCAACTCGGACTGGAGCTTTAATCTCTGCAGGACCGTCAGATGGCTTTGACAGTGTGCAGCCACCAATGAGGTTGCACGATTGAACTATGGCTTTGTACTTCTTGAAAAGCTTCTCCATGGCCTTTTTAAAACATTTTTTTATTCTTCCTTCCTGTGAGCTTCTGTCTTCACCTGGGACCCAAGAGTAACCTCATTATCCTCTTTCTTCTTCACTCAGCCACTTATCTTTTAGCATTACAAGCTCCCTAAATTGAGCCGGTCAGACATTAAACGCAAACTTTGACAAAATGATTCTCCAGGGAAATGTTCAGACCTCATGCATGTCTTTTTTTTCAGCTTATAAAATTGTGATAGTGCCTGTTTTACCCTTCAACACACTTGTTTTCACACAGACACCCACTGCTCCTCCCAAGTTCCACGAAACAATGTCAGGAAGTACATTAGCAGGACCTCCATTGTATCTCCCCATACATCCCATGCTTCCTGAGCCAGGGGTGGGTGCTGCCTTGCTGGGACACACTGAAGAGCCCACTGGTGATGCTGGTGGGGGTGGTTATGTCTGGTCCAGAGACAGACTGATCCTTAATCCTGCAGCCTTCTGCTGCAGCTTCCTAACTTGATGGGGGATCTATGCACACCGTATCTCCCAGTTACTGACGTATTGCCAGATTTGTGGTTTTAAGTGTAAGGATGCAGTTGGGATTATGTCAGAGTAAGCAGATCCCAGACCAGTGCACGAGGTGGCTTTAAGAGAGTTTGTTGTGGAGCCTCAAAGGGGCACAGATGGTGGGAGTCGCCTAAACCTCTGCGCTGCCTGCAGCGGCCTCTGCGGTCGTTTAATTGTAGCAGAAACAATGGTGGAGCGGGGAGCTGTTTATTCTGAAAGTGTGTGACCGTTATGGCATTTTTCACTTTGGGCCCTGCTTTACTTTCTTTCTTCTTCTTTTTTTTTTTTTTAAAGATATCTCAGCTTCAGTGTAACAATCCCCCTGTGTCTGTGTTCAGGTTTGCCACCACCCAGACTGCCAGGACCTGAACAGCAAAAATCCTCTTCATCTGTGTGAGTCATGTGACTCACGATGCCATCCAGAGACCGCCGACAACATGCACTTTGACCGACACCCACGATTCGACCTGCAACCTCAAGGTAGATCATTTCTTTATTTCCTCCCCCCCTTCGTAGAAAGGGGGAGGATGAAGTCATCCCCTGGTAACATGAAAGGACCTTCACTGTGAAAATATCATGCATGCCAGGTCTTTATTGTTGCAGGGTCTTTATTGTTGCAGGTGATGTCAATCATTACTCCTTTTCATGCCTAAACAATCTCATCATTCATGTTAAAGACATTCTGATCGGGTCTGATAACTGCTGATTTACTAAAACTAGAGTCATCAGCATTTTTGATGTTTCTGGGCTGATGGGGACACAGAAAGTCTGTCTGTCCGAAAAGATAACCCTCTGTTCTTAGTTCATTCACTCCAAGCTCTGATTGGTTGCTGACTTTTCTACCTGGAGTGAATCTTCCAGGAAGTCATCCCCAGCTCTCCGTCTAAACCTCTGAGCAAAGAGGAGAGGGCTGTAATCTGAGGCTCTGGGGCTTGTGCGAACTAGTCCTAAAGGGTGTTTTTTTTTTTTCTTCATCCTCAGGTGTTGACACATTTAGGAGATTTCTGCTTTCATCTTATTGCTGTTGTAACCAAATTACTGCTGCTTCTGAGAGTTGACATATTTATGTGGATAAAAACACTTTTCTTTATTGCGAATGATAGGATTGCATCATTTTTGCAGAAGAGTCTTTTAATCTAGCTCAATGCAATAGAAATAATTAGCAGTAATTACAAGTTTAGGATTATGGGAAAGTCCAACCATAATTGATACAGAAATCTTCTGCTTCCAAAATGGTGTAAATTTCACCTAAACAAATTCCACTGACTTTATTTTCTTAAACAAAGATGAAGCAACATTAGCTCCCGTGTCAGAAATTCCCTCAGTGTTGATCTGAGGCGGACTTTCTCGAGCTTTATCCATCTCTTAAGGGAAAGAGCCAGAAAGTTTTCCATCTTGAATTCATTGCTTTATTTATTGCTCCACAGTGCTTCAGTGGGTAGCACTGCTGCCTTGCAGAAAGAGGGTTCGGGTTCGATTCCTGGCCTTTCTGCATGAAGTTTGCATGTTCTCCCTGAGCATGTGTGGGTTCTTTCCAGGCATCCCGGCTTCCTCCTGCAGTCCAAAAACATGACTGATGTCGTGTCAATTGGCTTCGATAAATTCTCCTTAGTGTGTGTGAATGGTTGTTTGTCCTGTTGGTCTCTGTGTTGCCCTGCCATAGACTCGCGACCTGTGCAGGGTGGACCCCACCTCTCCCCCATTGACAGCTGTAAATAGGCACCGGCAACCCTCACGACCCCATCTGGGATAAGTATGATGTAAAATGGATGGATAGATGGGTTTAATTCAATTCAATTCAGTTTATTTATATAGCGCCAAATTCACAACACATGTCATCTCAAGGCACTTTACAGTTCAACCAGATCATACAGTCAAATTGATACAAAGTTTTCTAAGGAAAACCAGTTGATTGCATCGACTCATTTACTCAAATACAATCCCTCACACTAAGAAGCTTGTAGCGACAGTGGAGAGGAAAAACTCCCTTTTAACAGGCAGAAACCTCCAGCAGAACCAGGCTCAGTGTGAGCGGCCATCTGCCGAGGCCGACTGGGGTTGAAGGAGACAGAAGCAGAGACACAAAAAGCAGCTGCAAAAGGCGGCCCCGTCCAGGAAAGACACAGCCAGTCAGACGAGCTCCGAGCCAGCTCCCATGTCAGGGGACGAAGAGAGCACATCCACCCAATCTATAAACAAGGGTGTTGATGGAAGCAGCACAGCTGATGTTTCTTTCCAGGATAAAGTCACAGCCAAACAGGAACAGACGAGGCAAAGCTACTCTGAGGAAAAGCAGAGAGAGCAGAACGTTAGAGATTGAACTAACAGATTCTGCAGAATAGGAGAACAGAGAGAGAATGAAGCAGAATGATGAAATGGGGGTCCCTATGTCCTCCAGAAGTCTAAGCCTATAGCAGCATAACTATAGAGATAGCTCAGGATAACCTTTTAAAGGTCCTTTACACAGTGTTAATCAGATCAAGGTGTGGGCTTTCACTAACCTGACTCCGCCAGATGGATTTGCTGGATTTGCTCCGCATATCCATCTGGAAACCTTCCGTTGAAGTAATTTTAGGAAGGGGCGAAAATACTGGTTAGCTGATTGGCCTATGTTGGTGATAGACGGGCCAAATAAACCAATCAGATCAAAGAAGCATATGGCGTACTAACAGAACAACGACGAATAGGAGCCAATTGATAGATCAAACTCTTGCCGAAACCAGTCGGGAGAAGAGCAAAAACATCTTTTCGTCTGAGAAAAGCCTCCAGAGCAGTGTTTTGCTCTTCTTTCAGTGAAGAAATACTCTGTAATTCCGATAAAACTTGCCACGCTAACGCTAGTTTCATTGGCTGAAGCCGCCATGTTCTTTAGACTGAACTGTCGCGCTTCTCGTTGCGCCACACCTCAACCCGCCTCAAAGCCAACGCTGATTGGACGTTCGTTTGGTGAACTGCTCCAAATTTTCTTTAACGGAGAGTCTCCAGACTGATCTGCGAGTGAAACCTTGAAAGCTCGCGAGATCAGGATGGTCTCACGAGGCTAGGACAGTGGGCCCTGAGGTCAGAGCTTGGAAACCACAGCTCTAGTGGGCAGTGGAAGCATTTCAGCACTGACAGAAACTCCCTCTCAGCGGATGTAATCAATATTCAGATGGATCAAATGTTAATCACCTGGATTCTATAGTTTTCTTTTGTTTCAGAGTCACGTTTGTCCTTGTATTCTGCATTTTCCTTCCTCCTTGAGTGTCTCTCTGCAACTGTAAACCAGAGTCACTCTGCCTGTTTTTTTTCTGGTGAAAAGAAATCATTTCAAATGGAAAACTTTCCCAGTTTTAGCTTTTACTAAGCTTTGCGTGAATTTGATGAAATGCATCTTTTTTTTTATATATACAGTCTGGAAAAGTTTAGAAAGAGCCTTATACCTCTTTCCAAACAGATGAGTAATAAAAAGGACTTCTGTAAAGAGTTTGCCGTCGTCTTTCCTTCTTGGCTTTGTGTTAACACACACCTGTTTGCCTCGGAGCAGCAAACTGCCACAGCTCCTGCTTTTATACAGATGATCACACTTTCTGACGATGACTTAATGAAAACTTGCACACGCTGATGCAACTTTTCTGCTTTTCTCACTTAAATTCCTTGCGGTGTCCTTTTCGTTTGAATTTATCTCGTAACTTTTCCGTTTGGGTTCATATTTCAGAATAAAAGTCTTTTTGAAAGCTTGATTGTTTTCAAACGAGCTTAGATTTATGTTTGGCTGATGCATAAAAATCCTAAAGACAAAATGAGGTGTTCTTACTTTTTCCCATGCCTGTTGACATTTAAAAGCTGGTTATATATTGCAGGCAAAATCTTTTTTTTTTTTTTCTCTGAACCATTTTTTTTTAGGGTTGTTTATTTTTAGTGATTTGTGTCGGCCCTGTGAGGCGCAGTGTTTCAGGCGAAATGAGTTGTGTTCCAGCAGAGGGAGTGACTGCTGTGTTTTTTTAACCTCCAGCTTCCATCCTGGCTCGGAACGTGTCCACGCGCTCCTGTCCCCCACGCACCAGCCCCCCCTCAGATCTGGAGGAAGAGGATGAGGGGAGCAATGACCGCGGGTCGGTAACCGTCCTGCTAGTGTTTATTCACTCCTCCTGCCTCTCTGCCTCTTCTATTCAGAGGATCATTTACAGCCAACAAACGTTCGCTTTGTGTTTTAAAGTGTCGGTTCTGACATTAGGCTGGAAGTTTCATTGTTTTAAAGAAGCGGCGGACAATGTCCAACATGATTTGTCTTTGCATTTTGCAGAGAACGTAAAACGGTGGGGATGAAGTTGGGAAAGAAGAAGCCAAGGAGACGACACACTGATGTAAGTCACTCTGGATATAATCAGGCAGCAGGTTTTATGTCATGAAATAAGTGTTCTGGTTTGACACGGCCGTCCTTCATCTGAATAAGTCAGGCAATGAACGCTCCATCTGCTGTCTGCAGGATCCCAGCAAGGAGTGCTTCAGCCTCAAGTTTGACCTCAACGTTGACATCAACACTGAAATCGTACCTGCTATGAAAAAGAAAACACTGAGGTGAGATAGTAGGAAGATGTAGAATCTCCAGGGAAACTTGAAGAACCGTGTTTGGAAAAAAACGTTTTGTTTCCTGTGTCGTCAGAGAGGTTTTAGGTCCGGTGTTTGAGAGGAACGGCATCGAGCTGTCTCGGGTCGACCTGTTCCTGGATCAGTCCAATACTCCGCTGTCCCTCCACTTCGAGGCTTATCGCTTTGGAGGACACTACCTCAAAGTGAAAGGTAAACACAACATGAAGCACAATCATTAACAGTCAGTTTTCTGTCTGAACCGCTGGACTTCTGTCCAGAGGTAAGTTACAAAAAGGAGTTTAAGGAAACATTGTAAACTGATTTTTTTACTGATTAATTAGTAAAAATTTTATTTGGTGAATCCATTTTCCTGATCCTCCCAAAGAAGAGAGATTTGTTTCTGTTTTTTTTATGTTTTATTTATTTACCCTACCAGTTTTTTTTTTATATTTACAGATTATTTTGATGGGAACTCTGATAAATTAGTCAAAACTAAGTTTTTTGTTATTTTTTTTGTTTGTTTGTTCTTTTTAACATTCAGACTCTAGTAGCTTATGGTTTTAAACTGTGCTTGCAAGTCTTTATACTAAGTTGGGTTTTGATCCTCTTTTTCTGATGAGTAAAAACAAAAATCTCCAACCCTTTTTAGGGCAAGTTACTGTTTTTGATCATTGCATACCCATTACAGAGCCCCCACCCTCACTGGAAAAAATTGAAGTCTATATGAGTCATTTTTTCTTAAAATAAGTGCATTTATTTGTTAATTGAGAAGATAAAAGAGACATTTTACCAATGGAACCAGACAATTTATATTTAAAATAAGAAAACACAAGTGCGTTGTCTTATTTTAAGTGCATTTTATCTTTATAACCCTTTTTTAAGAGTAAAAATACTCATTCCATTGGCAAATCATCTCCTTTACCTACTCAAATTAAGGATAAATACACTTGATTTAAGAAATTTTTACTTATTTCTAGATCTTTTTTGCAGTGCTTTGCTCAATGCTGGGAAAATGATCTAGAAATAAGTACAAATTTCTTAAAATAAGGGTATTTACCCTTATTTTGAGTAGGTAAATGAGATGATTTGCCAATAGAATTAGTATTTTTACCCTTAAAATAAGATATATAGATAAAATTCCCTTGAAATAAGACAATGCAATTGGGTTTTCCTATTTTAAATGTAAATTCTCTTGTTCCATTGGCAAAATGTCTCTTTTAGCTTCTTAACTCAAGAATAAATGCACTTATTTTAAGAAAAAAATGACTTATCTAGATATGGATTTTTTTTCTAGTGAATGCTGCTGCATTGACATACATGTTATTTGGGCATTTGACCGATTAGATGAGCCCTTGAGTGATATATTACCTACTGTAAAAAGCTAAATGAAAAGTTAAAAAGTAAATATAAGAGTTAATAAGCAAAGTTAAAAAAGTAAAAAATATTAATTGTCTCTATCAGCATTCATGGTCTAAGGTTATGTTGTTACAAAAAAATGTTTTTCTTTCCCTAAGTGTTTTTCATGACTTTTCTTTTATAGAAGCACTTTTGTTATTTAATATATTAGGGCAAGTGACTGTTTCTTATTACATTGACCTTGATTTATGCCATCAAAAATACATATTTTTGAACATTACCAAACTAATTAGTTCTTGTTCTGTCCTCTAATAACGCTCTTGGCCTGACATTTTAATTTTCAAAGTATTTCACTGTTTGCCCTTCAGATAGTTGAAGGAGTTACCCACAAATTTAACTCCTCCAGGCCAGTAGGTGGGGCTGTCCCCGCCTCTCATTCCAACCTTCACTTGTACTGTTTACCGGCTGGTTGGCAGGTCCTAATGCTAATCTTTGGTTAGCATTAGCAAAAAATGTTACTTTGCCATCTTAAGCTAAAATCTTCTCACGGTTTTTTAGCCACTTTATTAAATAAACACCAATACTAAAAGCCTGACTGGTGCTAACCTCCTTTTTGCTTCTTTTACGATTTATATATATATATATATTTTTTTTTTGTCCTGAATCGGAGAAATGTAAAAAGACGACTACTAGCATTAGGCAACACCTGGGCTCTGTCTCCCATGATTTTAACCAACTAAACAGAATCCTTTTGTTTCCATGCTTTAGACCTTTTAAAATGTATCTATTAAATTATATATATATATATATATATATATATATATATATATATATATATATATATATATATATATATATATATATATATATATATATATATATATATATATATATATATATATATATATATAAAGTAAAATCAATACTTTCATTCTGTTCCACTCCAGACTTTTTGTGGCTGTGTAGCTCTGACCTTTAAATATTTTTTTTGTCTACATTTACTTATCTAAGTTTTATAAATTTCAAAATGACGCATATCAAAGTTGATTTAGAAGCAAAAAAAATTATAAAATGAAATAAAAATTTGGCAGTGAAACTCTCCCTTACCGCTCCTCCTCATCATTAACCTTCATCAGCTTCGGGTTTATCCGTAGTTCTGGAAAATCCAGATAAACACTAAACTTAAAAAAATATTCTCTTTCAAAATGTCCTGAATAGACCTTACGACTGTTCCCGTTTCCAATCTTTGATACGGTATTTAAAGGAAGTCTGTATATTTATTTCTTTAATTTATTTTCTTAAAGACAGAGAGGTTTTGGGAAAAGTCCTCCTGCCACCCTCTTTGAAGTCCATCTGCAATTCATAAACCGCTTTTAAACATCCACTTCATAGTCTTATATTTCATTTTTTTACCTTAACAGTGTCACAAATGACAAACTGCTTCCTGGAATAAAATGTATAAGACTATAAAGTCCAGATTCTATAAAAAAATTTTTTTAACCTGGTGCCGAATCAGATCCAACTCAAATTATTCACAAATTTTGCAACATAGAGATAATTAAACCAACCAAAGGGAAAGTTTTAATGCTAAAATGTCCAGAATGTGTTAACATAAAAACATTTCAGTTTTAAAATGAAGGATTCTTAAAAAGGAGAAAAGTTATTCATCATCAACCAAAAACTTTCCTTTCATATTTCTAATTGTATCCCTTTTAAAATATAATAATCTTATTTAATTATTCCTTTGATTCTCTGTAGCCTCTGTTGCCTTTATGCTGCTGCAGTGCTTTTCTTTTTCTTCTCATAGAATAGAATAGAAAATCCATTTATTGTCCCACTGTGTGGAAATGATGGCGTTTACATCGACATCTCTCTGAATTGTAATTATTGCAGCAGCTTCAGGAAACCAAAAAAACTGCTGAAAGGTTAAAGTCGGGCTGTTTCTTCTCTGATTGGTTCTTTAAAAAAAGGAATCCGCTGCGATCAATATGGTGCTGATGTGAATTATATTCACATTAAAGCAATAAACAACATAGGATAACGTATCTAAAATATAACTTGTCAAACGTAGATTACAGCGATTTGTATAGCGGTCAACAATAAATACAGTGACCCATTTTTTACCAATGACACTTCCATAGGTGAGTAATATATCTAATTACAAAACTCCTCCCAGATCTAGTTGATCCATTCCCCTACAAACAAACAATTAAAAAAATAACAGCTAAACTAACACCAAAGCATCTTTAATTCATGGCTCCTACAATAATGCAACTGAAATGTGGTGTATAAATAAATTATACAGGAATTATATTTATTAAAACCAGCTGCTGTAAACGGCTTATAATCATTGCCTCACATGTGATACATGGAGAAATTGATGGATTATTTTTAATGCATTTATTCCTTTTTATCAGTATAGGTCCAGATCTGCGCATTAAAATGTTTGCACATCTAAAGTTAAAAATATCTATTTTAAGAAAGGCTTCTTGATTTGTACTTAATTTGATCATATATCAGCTCAAAAATAAAGTATTAATGAATATTTAAAACTGCCAACTATGCAGAGTTTTGTGTTCCTTAACGGAATCAAAGGCAGTTTAATAAAAGAATATGAGAAAAAGAGGTAAAGAGTGAAATGAGTTGATTATTTCTCAGCCAATATCAAATACAAAATAATAAAATAGACTGATTTAACAAGTTGAATGCAGAAAAAAAAATGGGCTAGAATTAGTCAAAAACTTCAAAGCAGTATCCCATAATAATTTGATAGAAAAGAGATGCATTTAGTGAATTTAAAGGCTACTTTAGATTTTCTTTCTGGTTTGTTTTGTTTCTTTAAATGGCTGAGAAAGTCAAACTAAGAAAGTTTATTTATTTTCAGAGGCTTAAAGGGAGCTGCCTTTTTTATGTATGACAAAGCAGCTGTCAAAGCTGGAAAGTTCCGCTCTTCTGCCAGATTATGACATACTGTAGGGTTTTTATTTTTTGTCACATAGAAGGTTGCACACCTCGGCAGTCACCGTTTCTCCTCCTGTGTTTTTTATTGTATATTTTTACATCCTTTTTTTTTTTTTTTCATACATCTAGCGCGTCCCGGTGATGAGGTGAAGGTGGCGCAGGGTGTGAAAGACTTCCGATCCCACAGCCTGCCCATCATGAAGCCCCCTGACGGTCAGAGCCCCTACATCCTCACCCCGACCAAAGAGAAGGTGGCGCATGAATCTCTGGGACGCCGGGAGAGCATCGATCTGTTGGTGAGTCGCTGCTCGCCACGTCTGAAGCTACCTTCTCTTTTCTCAGCTCTGAGCCCAAACTCAGACTCTCCCAAAGAACTTTTTCCCTGATTTTCCATAACTTCATTTTTTTCTTCCTATAAAACTCCAGACCTGTTTAGTTTCTCGTTTTGATCCCGTCATGACCTCATAGTTTCCCAGCTGTGCAGATGTATTTGGAGAATTGATGTGTGGCTTTTATTTTGGACTTCTGTTTGTGCGTGGATGAGCGTACCGGGCTTTTTTTTTTTTTTTTTTTTTTCATTGTTGCTTGATGTAATGATTAGTTTACTCTGGAAGGCTCAATGGTACTTCCACTTCCTGTGGCTGCAGGAAGCGGCTGCTCTGTAAGTGATGAGCGATACTAAGAGGCTAACCTCTTGATCTATTTGGCTGCAGAACATGAAGGCTGGAAATGAGGCAGGATGCCAAATGGTTCAAGCCGTGTCATGTAAGGACACCAAGCGTAAACCCTCCAGCTGTTTTAATTGTTTAAAAGAAAAAATAGATTTTAGCACTGAGGAAAAAAAAAATCCGCTTCACTTTCAAAGAACTTTATTCTATAAGTTAAAATGATTTGCAGTTGGCATTGGTGACTCTTCTTTTTTCAGACTTTAAAGTTGTAGGGAAATCATAATTAAATGTCAAACCATTCTGGATTAAACATTTATATAACTATACTCTTTATTAGATTACAACAGATTTACTGTTCCAAAATAAAAAAATAAAAAAATCTGTGTCTTAATATCTGTGTTGTTTTTTTTCTGTTATCTTCTGCAGGCCAGTTAGTTATACGTCAGCTTGTACACCTTAATTCGGCCAATCGTATATCAACTGTCATCTGTCAATCAAATTTTTTAGGTCATAGCATCTTGATTCATATGTCGCAGCTAATATACGCAACGGTTGAAATAAGAATAATTTCCGTTCCCATTGAGTTCTGTCCCAGTGTTCACGGGGATGGACGTCTGTGTCTTCAGCAGGCGTAGAGCTAACAGAACTGGCAGCGTTGCGAGGCAAGGGCTCAAACATGTACGGCTGGAAGCCTTCTACACCAAACCAAGCTTCTGCCGCCCTGGCGTCCTCTTCCACAACATCTTCGTCCCCGCTTTCCTCCTCTAAATAAAAAATGGATGACGGAGGAGACTCATCCACGACCTCCGACACTAAACTCTCCTCCTCTTGCATGTTTCCTCTGTCCATAGCGTTCCTTGACAGCGTCGTTTCCAAGTCACCAATTTAGTGCTACTCGGTCCCAATGGAATTTCCCATTGGGAACCTGCTAGCACTAAGTTGCTAACTGGTTAGCAAGATGCTTCCGATAAACCGGACACAATCAAACATGCTTCCGCCACAACAATCCCGCCCCCTTGATAAACGACCAATCACATTCACTTTATTCACTGCTGTAAAGTCGTGCACCACTGGGAAAATTCAGAACTGCAACGATTGGAACAGCCGCTACAACTTTAACCCCACACAGCTTCCCGTGCGCCGTACATTGACAACCCACTTCTCCCCTATAGGAAGGGTTAAATGCAAAGGGTTAATTTCGTTGCTCTGTACTTGTGACAATGCAATGACAATAAAGGCTGGAAAAATCAATTAAGTGGGCGAGCCCCTCGCCTTCCTCTTGTTTTGCTCATGTAGATATGCCTTTCTCCAACTGTGCTGACAAAGAATGACCAAATATGCAAGGATTTCATCGAGCGACTTCCAGGACAGACAGTGATCTTTGGTTAGCATTAGCAAAAATGTCATACCTGCCCAGAATGAAAGCTGCGATCTTCTCAAGTCTTCTGCGCCATTTTGCTTAAAGTCTGCAGCAACGCTAAATGCCTGACTAATGTTTCCCCTCACTTGCTTCTTTGTTGTTTGTTTTTTTTTTTTTTTTGCTTAAATCGGACAAATATAATGCAGAGAGGAAGCCTTTTTCAAGCGTTTCCTTATGTGTCGGTGTTTGCATCCGGTTGTAAATATTTATACATTTTGGACCAACATTTAAAAAAAAGTCATTTATATACAAAGTGATCCACTTAAAAATGTAGACTATTTTTTATTAGTTTTCCCTTTTATAATCTAGTTTTATCTCCTGCAGCCCAACCCTGCCTCAGTTTTTTCCTAAAACACTGCTACAAATAAGGGGAGTGGTGGCCTAGTTGTTAGATCATTTGGAATCCAGAGGTTCTAGGTTCAAGCCCCACTCCCACAGACTGCCACTCTGGGTCCATAAGCAAAGCCCCTTAACCCCACACTGCTCCGGCCGTCTGCTGCACAATGGCAGCCCACTGTTCCCAAAGGGGATGGGTTAAATACAGAGAATTTCATTGCTCTGTACTTGTGACAGTGTAATGACAATAAAAGCTGGGGAAAAAATATATACATATTTATATATATATATATATATATATATATATATATATATATATATATATATATATATATATATATATATATATATATATATATATATATATATTATTGTACCTGTGGTTGTTAACTTCACACTTCCCTCCTGCTTGTCTCACCTTCATCTTAATCAAGCCTGTAAACTGACCTTTTAAAAGCTTAAAAATGTTGTCAATCACCTTTTCCTAAAGCCATCTATACACAGGTGAGCTGGGGTTTTTTTTTGCATTCACGTGTTAAAGCTGTAGAACAGATGTCTGGCGCTCGGGGCAAACAGGTGGAGGCTCGGTAAACGCACTTCCCTGCCTTCTGTGGAGGCAAATGGTCAAGGTTTAGTCACTGGGCTGAGACGTAAGCACTGGCAGTTACCAAGGAAAAGTTTAGTTTAGTCATTGTGTGTCTCGTGTTAATTTGTCTCATCAAAGAACGTGTAGTGATTTGGATTAAAGAAAGCGTGCATGTGAGGACTTGTCAGTGTGGAGAGATTGTTCCAGTTTATCCCACAGGGTGGCAGTAATGGTCCTCCTCTGATAATCTGAAGCAGACTGCTTTTGATCTGGCAGCAAACCCTCAGCTCCCCCTTCTTAGTTTGTGGTGAGGCTAATTGCATAATTAAATTTATCTTGAGGAAAAATGCTCAGACATAGAACATAATGCAAGGAACCAAAGTGCCATAAACATTCAAATCAACTGGTTGCTGGTAAAAGCAGAATTTAATGGATTTGATTAATGATAGCGTGCAAATAAATATTTAAACTTCAACTAAAGCAACAAAAATGAACCCAGAATGAAATTTAATACTTTTTAATCACTGTTAAGTAAAACTAAAAACTGCTTCTCTGGATTTTAACCTAAATAAATCTATCTATCTATCTATCTATCTATCTATCTATCTATCTATCTATCTAGAGAGAATTTTTAAATGATAACTTCTGAAAAATCTTTATTTTTTTCCTTTATTTTTGCTATCATTTCAAATTTTGATTATGAAGTTTTGGTCTTAATTTAACGATAAGAGAAACTGTAACATTTCCATTTCTTAAAGTGCAACAGTGATCAAATGTAAACAGCCAAAAAAAAAGAAAGAAATGCACGCCATAGACTATTATAATTAGTATTATAATAGAAATACACTTACTGGAAACTCTATTCTGTCCAGCATCATTGCTGCTATTTGGCTAAACTCTCTCATCTCCAGAACCGCCTTTATCACCTTTGGCTTAGATTCTGCGAGGTGTCGGAAACATTCCTCACAGCTTTTTGTTCCATAAAACCTGATCATAGACGTCTGTGATTAGAAATTTCACAAACTTCCAGGAAAAAAAACAACAGAAAAGAAGTTTTGAAATACAGCCTGTTTGGCGCCATCAAACTTTTCATGTCGAAAATCATTTGAATTCCAGCTTATTTTCCAGTCTGATGCTTCGTTAACCTTCAGCAGGTCGTCTCCACCTTACTGAGAAACCTAAATGCATCGATCTGCTGCTGCTGCTGCGTAGTTTGACCGTCTGTTAACAATCAGGTTATTATTAGCTGATATTTTGAAGCTTTGTTTTTTCTTGTATTAAATTCTTCTTTTGTAAACAATAAAAAAATGCTTTAGTGTTTTAAACATCTTCCCCTAAACTACACCCTGTCTGGACAAAACGCAGCCATACCTTTAGGTTTACTGTGTTCATCTATTATTCGATCTTACCTAGTTTTATACAAAATTTTATCCATTTCTAATTTGATAAAATTTTTGCTTTAAAATCTCTAAAAAGGGAAAAAGAATCATTAAATCAGGTGTTTAAACAAATGGGATCAGCAGATCTCAATTTTCTTTTTCTATTACCGTTGTTGGTTTTACAGTTTTGACCAGCAGGGGTCACTGTTTGCTACTTATTTACAGCTTGTTCTGATCCATGTGTATCTGCCTCACCTAGCTGTGCCAGGCTTTTTTTTCTTTTCTTGCATAGACGTTCCAGTTTATAGTCTCTGGCTGTGATCTGATTGGCTGCAGTTGGTTCAGATTATTTTATAACAAACACCAAGCCCTCTGATTGGTCAAAGCTACAGTACAAAGTGCTGCTGTGCCTTTGCTCCACCATGGATAAATAATCCATCTTTTTACAGTGTCTTTGCTGTAGCAGATCATTCTTAATCGGCACATAAAACGAATTAACAGCATCTCCACCCTCTGCAATCTGACGCCACGGTAAACCGTCGTCCGTCGCATTCATCAGGCAAAAGGTTAATGTGACCAGCTAAGCATGGCAGAGGGAGAGGTAGAGACTTGGTTCTTCAGAAATGTGAGACGTCAGTAAAATGTCTCAAGTTAAAGTCATTAACTCTAATTACGCTGTCGGTTCACACTGTTTGAACTAAAGCACATATTTAGCAGGTCTGCATCAGTGACCTGTAGTTTCACAGGCCCTGATTTATGCCAATAAAAACTCTGCACCTCTAAGCAGAAATTCATCAGAAATGACAGGATATGTTTTAGTATAACGCACCAAAACACTTTGAACATTCCTGCAGAGTACATGTATTCAGATGCTGTGCAAAAATTTAGAAATGTCCTTTTTTTCTTG